GTGAGTGCACATGTGTAAATGTACCTGTTAAGGTACCCATGGTGTGACTGTGAGTGACCTGTGTAAGTGTACCTGTGTGGAGTGTGACCTGTGTAAGGTACCTGTGTAAGTGCACCTGTGTGAGTGTACCTGTGTGTAAGGCACCTGTGTAAGGGTGACCTGTGTAAGTGTACCTGTGTGGAGGTACCTGTGTGAGTGTACCTGTGTATGTACCTGTGTCAGTGTACCTGTGTAAGTGGTACCTGTGTAAGTGTACCTGTGTGAGTGCACCGGTGAGTGTACCTGTGTAAGGTACCTGTGTGAGGTACCTGTGTGAGGCACCTGTGTGAGTGTACATGTGAGGTGTACCTGTGTGAGTGCACCTGTGTGAGTGTACCTGTGTGAGTGCACCTGTGTGAGTGTACCAGTGAGTGTACCTGTGTAAGGTACCCTGTGAGGTACCTGTGTGAGGTACCTGTGTGAGGCACATGTGTGAGTGTTCCTGTGTAAGTGTACCTGTGTGGGTGCACCTGCATAAGGTACCTGTGTGAGTGTACCTGTGTAAGTGTACCTGTAAGTGTACCTGCATAAGTGTACCCATGTAAGTGTACCTGTGTGAGTGCACCTGTGTAAGGTACCTGTGTGAGTGTACCTGTGTAAGGTACCTGTGTGAGTGCACCTGTGTAAGGTACCTGTGTGAGTGTACCTGTGTAAGGTACCTGTGTGAGTGTACCTGTGTGAATGGCACCTGTGTAAGTGTACCTGTGTGAGTGTACCTGTGTAAGGTACTGTGTGAGTGTACCTGTGTGAGTGTACCTGTGAGTGGGTACCTGTGTAAGTGTACCCGTGGCAGTACCTGTGTGGAGGTACCTGTGTGAGTGTACATGTGTGAGTGTTCCTGTGTAAGTGCAACCTGTGTGAGTGTACCTGTGTGAGTGTACCTGTGGGAGGTACCTGTGTAAGTGTACCCATGTGAGTGTACCTGTGTGAGTGTACCTGTGTGAGTGCACATGTGTGAGTGTTCATGTGTAAGTGTACGTGTGTAAGGTACCAGCAAGTGTACCTGTGTGAGTGCACCTGTGTAAGTGTACCTGTATATGTACCTATGTAAGGTATACCTGTGTGAGTGCACCTGTGTAAGTGTACCTGTGTGAGGTACCTGTGTAAGCATCGCTTGAGTGTACTGTAAGGTACCTGTGTAGGTGTACCTGTGTGAGTGTACCCAGTGAATGCACCTGTGTAAGGTACCTGTGTGAGTAACGTGTAAGGCACCTGTGTAAGGCACCTGTGTGAGGTACCTGTGTGAGGTACCCTGAGGCACTGTGTGAGTGTACCTGTGTGAGTGTACCTGTGAGTGCACATGTGTACCTGTGTAAGTGTACCTGTGTGAGTGCACCTGTGAGTGTACCTGTGTGAGTGTACCTGTGTAAGGTACCCCTGTGAGTGTACCTGTGGAGTGTACCTGTGTGAGTGTACCTGTGTGAGTGTTCCTGTGTAAGGCACCTGTGTAAGTGCACCTGTATAAGTGTACCTGTGTAAGTGTGCACTGATCTGTAAAGGTACCTGTGTAAGTGTACCTCAGGTAAGTGAACCTGTGTGAGTGCACCTGTGTAAGTGTACCTGTGTGAGTGTACCTGTGTAAGTGTACCTGTGTAAGGTACCTGTGTGAGTGCACCTGTAAGTGCATGTGTGAGGTACCCATGGGCAGGTACCTGTGTAAGGGACCTGTGTAAGGTACCTGTGTAAGTGTACCTGTGAGTGTACCTGTGTAAGGTGTACCTGTGTAAGGTACCTGTGTAAGTGTACCTGTGTGAATGTACCTGTGTAAGCATACCTCTGTGAGCACCTGTGTAAGTGTACCTGTGTGAGTGTACCTGTGTAAGGTACCTGTAAGGTACCTGTGTGGAGTGCACCTGTGTAAGTGTACCTGTGTAAGGTACCTGTAAGTGTACCTGTGTGAGTGCACCTGTGAGTGTACCTGTGTGAGTGCACCTGTGTAAGTGTACCTGTGTGAGTGTACCTGTGTAAGGTACCTGTTTGAGGTACCTGTGTAAGTGTACCTGTATAAGGTACCTATGTAAGTGTACCTGTGTGGAGTGCAATTGTAAGTGTACCTGTGTGAGTGCACCTGTAAGTGTACCTGTAAGGTACCTGTGTGAGTGCACCTGTGTAAGGTACCTGTGTATGTACCTATGTAAGGTACCTGTGTAAGTGACCTGTGAGTGCACTGTGTAAGTGTACCCATGTGAGTGTACCTGTGTAAGTGTACCTGTGTAAGTGTGCCTGTGTGCCTATGTAGAGTGTGCCTGTGTGAGTGCACCTGTGTGGAGTGTGTGAGTGCACCTGTGTAAGTGTACTATGTGAGTGTACCTGTGAAAGTGTGCCTGTGTAGGGTGTACCTGTGTGGGTGTACCTGTGTAGGGTGTACCTGTGTGAGTGGCCTGTGTAAGTGTGCCTGTGTAAGGTGTACCTGTGTAAGTGTACTATGAGGGTTGACCTGTGTAGTGCACCTGTGGCAGGTGTACCTGTGTGAGAGTGCACCTGTGTAAGGAGTGTACCCCTGTGTGAGTGTACCTGTGTAAGTGTACCTGTGTAAGTGTACCTGTGCAGTGCACCTGTGTAAGTGTGTGTGGGTGTACCTGTGTAAGTGTACCTGTGTGATGTACCTGTGTGAGTGTGTGTACCTGTGTAGAGTGTATGTGTGAGTGGCACCTGTGTGAGTGTACCTGTGTGAGGTGTGCCTGTGTGGTACCTGTGTAGATGTACCTGTAAGTGTACCTGTGTGAGTGCACCTGTGTGAGAGTGTACCTGTGTGAGTACTGTCTGTGTAAGTGTACCAGTGTAAGTGTACCTGTGTGGTGTGCAGTGTACCTGTGTGAGTGTACCTGTGTGAGAGTGCACCTGTGTAAAGTGTACCTGTGTGAGTGTACCTGTGTGGAGTGCCTGTGTAAGTGTGCCTGTATAAGTAGCCACCTGTATAAGTGTACCTATGTAAGTGTACCTGTGTGAAGTGTACACTGTGTAAAGTGTACCCCGTTGAAGTGTACCTGTTACCTGATAAGTGTACCCATGTGAGTGTACCTGTGTGAGTGTACTGTGTAAGTGTACCTGTGTGAGTGCACCTGTGTAAGTGTACCTGTGTGAGTGTACCTGTGTGAAGTGCACCTGTTAAATGTACGTGTGTGAGTGTACCTGTGTAAGTACCTGTGTGTGCCTTGTGAGTGTACCTGTGTATGTGTTCCTATGTGAGTGTACCTGTGTGAGTGTACCTGTGTAGGGTGTAGTGTGTGAGTGTACCTGTGTGAGTGTACCTGTGTAAGTGCACCTGTGTGAGTGTACCTGTGTAAGTGTAATTGTGTGAGTGTACCTGTGTGAGTATACCTGTGTAAGTGTACCTGTGTGAGTGTACCTGTGGAAGTGTAATTGTGTGAGTGTACCTGTGTAAGTGTACCTGTGTAAGTGTACCTGTGTAAGTGTACCTGTGTGAGTGTACCTGTGTAAGTGTACCTGTGTGAGTGTACCTGTGTGAGTGTACTTGTGTAAGTAATAATAATAATAATAATAATAATAATAATAATAATAATTAACGGTTTATTGAAAGAGCTTGGCAGCCAGAAGGCTGAAAATATACAGTTACATATTTGGGGAATGGGTTTCGAATTACAAATAATATGGCTAAGTAAATATAAGTGACACACAAATAAGACATATAATAACTAGATGGGGAAAAAGCTCAAACTACAGTTCATTTCCAACATAGTGACAGTGCAAGGAGTAGTAAGCTTACTGGGAGTGAATAAGCAATTGGTTTATTACAAGTTATTGATAATTTTTACAATGGTTGGGACTGGGCTGTTCTTATAGCGATCAGTTCGTGCACGTATGGGCTGGATGCGGTTGTGGTGTCGAACAGCAATTCTCGGACTAGGGATCTCAGGTGGTAGTAGGAGCCGGTGTCGAGGATGTAGAAGCTTCTTACCAATTTGCAGATGAGGTCGTGGTGATGGTCAGTGAGAGTCGAAAGGGTCAGTGTGTTGAGCGCTTCTTGATATGTGGAGTAGGAAGGGGAGAGAATAATCTTGCATGCCCTCTTTTGCACTTTTTCTAGTGTGTTTACGTTGTGTGGCATTTAGGGAGGAAGACCAGGTGGGGAGGCATAGGTGAGCTTGGGAAGTATGAATGTTGTGTAAACACTGAGGAGCTCGTGTGCAGGAACTCCGAGGGACTTGAGTCGGCGGAGGAGGTGGAGACGGAAACTGGAGGATTTGATAACTTCACTGACGTGTGGTTTCCAATTTAGTTTGTTGTCTATGTTGACGCCGAGGAGCTTCGTGGAATCTACAACCTGGAGTGTGTTCGGACCTAGAGTAATGGAAGGAGGTGGGACAATGTCGGAGGAGAGGTTGATGAGCATAACCATGGTCTTGGTATGGTTGATGGTGACATGGTTGTTGGTGGCCCAGTTTTGGAGACTGTTTAATAAATCCTGAAGGGCGGTATAGTTGGGAGCAGAATTGTTGACGCTGATCCCAATGGTGGAGTCGTCGACATATTTCCAGCGAGCAGGGGTTTCTCTTAGGGCATCATTGATGAGCATAAGGAAGCAGAGTGGTCCTGTGTGAGTGTACCTGTGTGAGTGTACCTGTGTAAGTGTACCTGTGTGAGCGTTCCTGTGTGTGTGTACCTGTGTGAGTGTACCTGTGTAAGTGTACCTGTTTGAATGTACCTGTGTAAGTGTACCTGTATAAGTGTACTTGTGTAAGTGTACCTGTGTGAGTGTTCCTGTGTAAGTGTACCTGTGTGATTGTACCTGTATTAGTGTACCTGTCTTACACTGACTATAAATTTAGGTACCTATTCTCAACTGGGCAGCCTAGGAGTGTCTTATTAGCGATTCATTGTCTCTTAGGAGAGGAGATAACCGCTAATACACTTGACCACCACACAGTATACATAACATACACATCAGGTATATCTTGTATTATGTATTATCATGTATTAATATGTATTATGTGTCACAGTTTAGGTCAACCAGGATGGGTGTGGGACCACTTCACCACCAGTGTACCCATGTCCACCTACCTCGTCGCTTTCGTTGTCTCAGATTTCGTTTACAACTCCACATATGTTGACGGAGTTGAGCTGTCAGGTGGGTCTGCTGTGTTGGTCTCTCAGGATGTTTACATTTAGTTGAAAAAGGTTTGAATGTCTTTCTTATTTTTAGTTGGCTAAATTTGACTGTTTGTTTATTTACCTGAAGTATATGGCATTTTGTTTGTTTGCTTCCATTGTGAATTATTGTATATTGTTTATTTACATTGTTTGTTTTCCTGCACTTTAACATGTTCGCATAGTTATGCATCATTCTCTCGTGTTCTCGTGGCTACAGTATGGACACGGCCTTCGTTGGTGGGTCAGGCTGGGGTGGCACTGGAGAGTGGGAGGAAGGCTCTCACCTTTCTGGAGGAATACTTCACCCTAAGGTACCCGCTGGCCAAGCAGGACCTTGTGGCTCTCCCTGACTCAGCCGCGTCAGCAATGGAGAACTGGGGACTAATTACATTCAGGTGAGACACACACACACACACACACACACACACACACATTGAAGACATTATTTATTATCTATATTGAGATATTAAAAGGAAGTTTTAGCCGTAGAAAACATTATCTATACTAGTTAACTCTCCAGTATAACAAACATCACTCCGACACAACAACCATCACTCCAACACAGTAAACATTACTCCAACACAACAAACATCACTCCAACACAGTAAACATCACACCAACACAACAAACATCACTCCAACACAACAAACATCACTCCAACAAAGTAAATAACAATCTCCAACACAACAAACATCATTCCAAAACAGTAAACATCACACCAACACAACAAACATCACTCCAACACAACAATCATCACTCCAACACAACAAACATCACTCCAACACCACAACCATCACTCCAACACAGAAAACATTACTCCAACACAGGAAACATCACTCCAACACAACAAACATCACTCCAGCACAGTAAATATCACTCTCCAACACAGCAAACATCACTCCAACACAGCAAACATCACAGCAACACAGCAAACATTACTCTCCGATAGACCAAGCAACACTCCAACACAACACACAACACTCCAACACGGTAAACATCACTCCAGCACAACAAACATCACTCCAACACAACAAACATCATACCAAAACAGGAAACATTACTCTCCGACACAACAAACATCATTGCAACACAACAAACATAACTCCAACACAACAAAGATCACTCCAACACAACAAACATCACTCCAACACAGTAAATATAATTCTGCATCACAACAAACATCACTCCAACACAACAAACATCACTGCAACACATCAAACATCACTCCAACACAACAAACATCACTCCAACACAGCAAAAATTACTCTCCAACACAACAGACAACCCTCCAACACGGTAAACACCACTCCAACACAGCAAACATCACTCCAACACAACAAACATCACACCAACACAACAAACATCACTCCAACACAGCAAACATCACACCAAAACAGGAAACATTACTCTCCAACACAACAAACATCACTCCAACATAACAAAGATCACTCCAACACAGTAAACATCACTCCAACACAGCAAACATCACACCAACACAGCAAACATTACTCTCCAACACAACAAACATCACTCCAACACAACAAAACCTACTCCAATCACAGCAAACATCACACCAACACAGCAAATATCACTCCAACACAGTAAACATCACTCCAACACAGTAAACATCACTCCAACACAGCAAACATCACACCAACACAGCAAACATTACTCTCCAACACAACAAACATCACTCCAACACAGCAAATATCACTCCAACACAACAAACATCACTCCAACACAGTAAACATCACTCCAAAAAGGCAAACATCACACCAACACAGCAAACATTACTCTCCAACACAACAAACATCACTCCAACACAGTAAACATCACTTCAACACAACAAACATCACTCCAACACAGTGAACATTACTCCAACACAGCAAATATCACTCCAACACAGTAAACGTCACTCCAACACAGCAAACATCACAACAAACATCACTTCACCACAGTAAACATCACTCCAACGCAACAAACATCACTCCAACGCAACAAACATCACTCCAGTACAGTAAATATCATTCTGCAACACAACAAACATCACTCCAACACAGCAAACATTACTCTCCAACACAACAAACATCACTCCAACACAACAAACATCACTCCAACACAACAAACATCACTCGAATACAGTAAATATCACTCTCCAACACAACAAAAATCACTCCGACACAGTAAACATCATTCCAACACAACAAACATCACTCCAACACAAAAAATATCACTCTCCAACACAACAAACATCAATCCAACACAGTAAACATCACTCCAACACAAAAAACATCACTCCAACACAGTAAATATCACTCTCCACCACAGCAAACATTACTCCAACACAACAAATATCACTCCAACACAGAAAACATCACAGCAACACAGCAAACATTACTCTCCAATATACCAAACATCACTCCAACACAACAAACATCACTCCAATACAGCAAACATCACTCCAACACAACAAACATCACTGCAACACAACAAACATCACTCCAACACAGCAAACATCACCCCAACACAGCAAACATTACTCTCCAACACAACAAACATCACTCCAACACAGCAAATATCACTCCAACACAGTAAACATTACTCTCCAACACAACAAACATCACTCCAACACAGCAAATATTTACCCAACACAGTAAACATCACTCCAACACAGTAACATCACTCCAACACAGCAAACATCACACCAACACAGCAAACATTACTCTCCAACACAAAAACATCACTCCAACACAGTAAATATCACTCAAACATACAGCAAACATCACTAACACAGTAAAATACCCAACACAGTAAACATCACTCCACACACATCACCCAACACAGCAAACATCACTGAACACAACAAACATCACTCGAACACAACAAACATCACTCCAACGCAGCAAACATCACTCCAACACAACAAACATCACTCGAACACAACAAACATCACAACAAACATCACTTCACCACAGTAAACATCACTCCAACGCAACAAACATCACTCGAACACTGTAAATATCATTCTGCATCACAAGAAACATCACTCCAACACAACAAACATCACTCCAACACATCAAACATCACTCCAACACAACAAACATCACTCCAACACAACAAACATCACTCCAACACAACAAACATCACTCCAACACAGCAAACATCACTCCAACACAGCAAACATCACTCCAACACAACAAACATCACTCCAACACAACAAACATCACTCCAACACAACAAACATCACTCCAACACAACAAACATCACTCCAACACAGCAAACATCACTCCAACACAGCAAACATCACTCCAACACAACAAACATCACTCCAACACAGCAAACATCACTCCAACACAGCAAACATCACTCTAACACAGCAAACATCACTCCAACGCAACAAATACCACTCCAACACAACAAACATCACTCCAACACAGTAATCATCATTCCAACACAGTAAACATCACTCCAACACAGTAAACATAACACCAACACTGGAAACATCACTCCAACGCAACAAACATCACTCCAACACAGTAAACATTACTCCAACACAGTAAATATCACTCCAACACAACAAACATCACTACAACACAACAAACATCACTACAACACAACAAACATCACTCCAACACAGTAAACATTACTCCAACACAGCAAATATCACTCCAACACAACAAACATCACGCCAACACAACAAACATCACTACAACACAACAAACATCACTCCAACACAGTAAACTTTACTCCAACACAAGAAACATCACTCCAACACAACAAACATCACTCCAACACAACAAACATCACTCCAACACAGCAAACATCACTCCAACACAACAACATTACTCCAACACAGCAAACATCACTCCAACGCAACAAACATCACTCCAACGCAACAAACATCACTCCAGTACAGTAAATATCATTCTGCAACACAACAAACATCACTCCAACACAGCAAACATTACTCTCCAACACAACAAACATCACTCCAACACAACAAACATCACTCCAACACAACAAACATCACTCGAATACAGTAAATATCACTCTCCAACACAACAAAAATCACTCCGACACAGTAAACATCATTCCAACACAACAAACATCACTCCAACACAAAAAATATCACTCTCCAACACAACAAACATCAATCCAACACAGTAAACATCACTCCAACACAAAAAACATCACTCCAACACAGTAAATATCACTCTCCACCACAGCAAACATTACTCCAACACAACAAATATCACTCCAACACAGAAAACATCACAGCAACACAGCAAACATTACTCTCCAATATACCAAACATCACTCCAACACAACAAACATCACTCCAATACAGCAAACATCACTCCAACACAACAAACATCACTGCAACACAACAAACATCACTCCAACACAGCAAACATCACCCCAACACAGCAAACATTACTCTCCAACACAACAAACATCACTCCAACACAGCAAATATCACTCCAACACAGTAAACTTTACTCCAACACAAGAAACATCACTCCAACACAACAAACATCACTCCAACACAACAAACATCACTCCAACACAGCAAACATCACTCCAACACAACAAATATTACTCCAACACAGCAAACATCACTCCAACACAACAAACATCACTCCAACACAACAAACATCACTCTAACAACACAGCAAACATCACTCCAACAGCAAATATCACTTCAACACAATAAACATCACTCCAAACACAACAAACATCACTCCAACACAACAAAACATCACCCAACACAACAAACACTACCCAACACAACAAATATTACTCCAACACAGCAAACATCACTCCAATACAGCAAACATCACTGCAATGACAACAAACATCACTCCAACACAGCAAACACTCCAACACAGCAAACATCACTCAACACAGCAAACATCACTCCAACACAACAAACATCACTCCAACACAACAAACATCACTCCAACACAACAAACATCACTCCAACACAACAAACATCACTCCAACACAGCAAACCTCACTCCAACACAACAAATAACACTCCAACACAGCAAACATCACTCCAACACAGCAAACATCACTCCAACACAACAAACATCACTCCAACTCAACAAACATCCCTCCAACACAGCAAACATCGCTCCAACACAAGAAAAATCACTCCAACACAACAAACATCACTCTAACACAGCATACATCACTCCAACACAGCAAACATCACTCAAACACAGCAAACATCACTCCAACACAGCAACATCACTCCAACACAGCAAACATCACTCCAACACAACAAAACATCACCCAACAACAAACACTTAACACAACAAACATCACTCCAACACAAATAAACATCTCCCAACACAGCAAACCCTTACCTAACACAACAAAGACTCCAACATGCAGCAACATCACTCCAACACAGCAAACATCACTCCAACACAACAAACATCACTCCAACTCAACAAACATCGCTCCAACACAGCAAACATCGCTCCAACACAAGAAACATCACTCCAACACAACAAACATCACTCTAACACAGCAAACATCACTCCAACAAAGCAAATATCACTCCAACACAAGAAACATCACTCCAACACAAGAAACATCACTCCAACACAACAAACATCACTCCAACACAACAAACATCACTCCAACACAACAAATATCACTCCAACACAGCAAACATCACTCCAACACAGCAAACATCACTCCAACACAACAAACATCACTCCAACACAGCAAACATCACTCCAACACAGCAAACATCACTCCAACACAACAAACATCACTCCAACACAGCAAACATCACTCCAACACAGCAAACATCACTCAACACAACAAACATCACTCCAACACAACAAACATCACTCCAACACAACAAACATCACCCAACACAACAACATTACTTCCAACACAGCAAACATCACTCCAATACAGCAAACATCACTCCAACACAACAAACATCACTCCAACACAGCAAACATCACTCCAACACAGCAAACATCACTCCAACACAGCAAACATCACTCCAACGCAACAAACACCACTCCAACACAACAAACATCACTCCAACACAGTAATCATCATTCCAACACAGTAAACATCACTCCAACACAGTAAACATAACACCAACACTGGAAACATCACTCCAACGCAACAAACATCACTCCAACACAGTAAACATTACTCCAACACAGTAAATATCACTCCAACACAACAAACATCACTACAACACAACAAACATCACTACAACACAACAAACATCACTCCAACACAGTAAACATTGCTCCAACACAGCAAATATCACTCCAACACAACAAACATCACGCCAACACAACAAACATCACTATAACACAACAAACATCACTCCAACACAAAAAACAGCACTCCACCACAGTAAACATCACTACAACACAACAAACATCACTCCAACACAGTAAATATCACTCCAACACAGTAAATATCACTACAACACAATAAGCATCACTCCAACACAACAAACATCACTCCAACATAGCACACATCACTCTAGTACAGCATACATCACTCCAACACAGCAAACATCACTCAAACACAAGAAACATCACTCCAACACAACAAACATCACTGCAACACAACAAACATCACTCCAACACAGCAAACATCACTCCAACACAGCAAACATCACTCCAACACAGCAAACATCACTCCAACGCAATAAATACCACTCCAACACTACAAACATCACTCCAACACAGCAAACATCACTCCAACACAACAAACATCACTCCAACACAGCAAACATCACTCCAACACAACAAATAATACTCCAACACAGCAAACATCACTCCAACACAGCAAACATCACTCTAACACAGCAAACATCACTCCAACAAAGCAAATATCACTCCAACACAACAAACATCACTTCAAGACAACAAACATCACTCCAACACAACAAACATCACTCCAACACAACAAACATCACTCCAACACAACAAAACACTGCAACACAACAAATATTTGTCCAACACAGTAATCATCACTCCAACACAACAAACATCACTGCAACACAGCAAACATCACTCCAACACAGCAAACATCACTCCAACACAAGAAACATCACTCCAACACAACAAACATCACTCCAACACAACAAACATCACCCAACACAGCAAACATCACTCCAACACACCAACATATTACTCCAACACAGCAAACATCACTCCAATACAGCAAACATCACTCCAACACAACAAACATCTTTCCAACACAACAAACATCTTTCCAACACAGCAAACATCACTCCAACACAGCAAACATCACTCCAACACAACAAACATCACTCCAACACAACAAACATCACTCCAACACAACAAACATCACTCCAACACAGCAAACATCACTCCAACACAACAAATATTACTCACAGCAAACATCACTCCAATACAGCAAACATCACTCCAACACAACAAACATCATTCCAACACAGCAAACATCACTCCAACACACCAAACATCACTCCAACACAACAAGCATCACTCCAACACAACAAACATCACTCCAACGCAACAAACATCACTCCAACACAGCAAACATCATTCCAACACAACAAACATCACTCCAACATAACAAACATCACTCCAACACAGCAAACATCACTCCATGCCTACTTTACCCACCCAGCGAGCCGTCCATGCTGTACAACCCTGGGGTCTCGTCAGCGAGCAACAGACAGCGTGTGGTGGTGTTGGTGTCTCATGAGTTGGCCCATCAGTGGTTTGGGAACTTAGTCACTCCCAGCTGGTGGAACGACATCTGGCTCAATGAAGGGTTCGCTACCTTCCTACAGTCTGTTGTTACTGATTATGTGAGTATAACTGTGGTTTTGGGAGGTGTGTTATATATATATATATATATATATATATATATATATATATATATATATATATATATATATATATATATATATATATATATATATATATATATATGCTGATAACCACAAGGAAAGAAGAAAACACGAAGTTCCCAAGCGCTTTCGTGTAATTCACATCTTCAGGGGTGAGTACAGACTAAAGAGAAGTACAAAACAAGGTGTATATATACAGAGGAGGGTGAGACCAGGTCCACAATGGTCAGGTATTAGGTAATGACCCTACTAATCTTTAAATAGCACCGCAACGGTCGGTAGTCAGGTCAGAGGGTAAGGTGACCCAACCTTCTTACCTGGTTACAGATCTTCTTAATTACAAAATTGTCCAGTTTGTACAAGCCATTACTCAAATTCATTTTGAATGCTTCGGTATGTTTAATGAGACTAGATTCTATGATGTTCCTACTATCAATTGAATTACAAGGTAATATTGAGGAGGCATTATCCCAGTCAATGCAATGCTTGTTATCCCTCAAATGAACAAATAGAGCATTGGATTCCTGGCCTGTCCTAACACTATATTTATGTTGTTTAAGTCTAGTTACAAGATCTTTACCTGTCTGGCCTAAGTAAAACTTATTACATTCCTTGCAAGGAACTTTATAAATGCAACCAATTGAGTTGTTGGGGGAGTTCTTGATTAACATTTGTTTAACAGTGCATGAGTTTTTAAATGCCACATTGACGTTCCAGGTTTTTAGTTGTAAAGGAATGTGTGAGAAATTTTTGTGAAATGGTAATATTAAGATATTCTTATGGTCATGGGTGGGCTTGAGATCAGTTCTATAAAAAGTTTTCTTAGTAATGTTTAGGCATTTGTCTATGAAAGATTTAGGGTATTTAAGGTTTGAGCCAATATTATAGATATATTTATATTCCTCATCAATGAATTCCGGACTGCAAATTCTCAAAGCACGTAAAAACATTGTTGAAAATACTGACTGTTTGACTCTATTATGGTGGGCAGAATAATAATGAATGTATGAACACACATTAGTAGGTTTTCTATAAATACTGAACTTAAAAGTGTTACCTATTCTGTGTATCAGACAGTCTAGGAATGGCAATTTACAGTCTTGCTCTAATTCCACAGTGAATTTGATCGAGGGGGCTAAGTTGTTAAGTTGTGGCAGGAAAGCTTTTAGGTCCTCATTACATGCAAGGAATGTAATATGTTTTACTTAGGCCAGACAGGTAAAGATCTTGTAACTAGACTTAAACAACATAAATATAGTGTTAAGACAGGCCAGGAATCCAATGCTCTGTTTGTTCATTTGAGGGATAACAAGCATTGCATTGACTGGGATAATCCCTCCTCAATATTACCTTGTAATTCAATTGATAGTAGGAACATCATAGAATTTAGTCTCATTATGGCTAGTGCTACTTGTAAACGGGGCTATGCCCATCTGTGGACCGAGTTACAGAATACCAAGGAAAAAACCCTGAAATTAGAGCAAGAAATCTTGAAATTAAAGGAAGAGATACCAAAGATGAAGGTAGAAACGAGACAGGGAAAGCCGGTGAATGACGAATGGAAGGTTGTGAGGAGAGGGACTACCAAGCTGGTGGTCAAGAAACACACCAAGGATACAACAACGACAACAACAGCTGAGTGTACCAACTCGTTCAGTCCGTTGATAGACGAAATGGACGTTAGTACAGTCAGGGACAGGGCTGACAAGGAAAGTATAAAAACTTTAATTGCTGGTGACTCACAGGTAAGGTACTTGGACAGAGCCTTTTGTGGTAAAAATAAAAATAGGATGAGGGTGTGTTTGCCAGGGGCTGGGGTGGGGGATATAGTTGACAGGATGGACAATATCTTGTCTGGTAATGGGAACAAACCCATTATCTGCCTCAGTGCAGGAGGCAACGATATTGGCGGGTGTAGGAGTGAAGAGATTCTTGATAAGTTCAAGACAGCTATAAATCGTATTAGGACTAAGGGAGGGATCCCTATCATATGTAGTGTCTAGGAAAGAAGGAGAGTTAGCAATGAATGGTTGTCAAGGGCAGTTGGTGTCATCGGCCGTCTTGACGGATATTGCAAGTCAATATCGTCCCATACATTGACCACTGGGAAAACTGCTACGGCAGAAGGGACCTTTATGCTGGGGATGGGGTGCACCTGTCTCGGGAGGGGGTGGCAACCCTGGCTGGGTCTTTAGAGGGGGCAGTTCAAAAGATATCGAAGTCTTTAAACTGCTAGGAGAACATGAGGGCACGGGGGTGGAGGAGACTGCTGTAGGAGCGGGTAAGCAAAGTGAAAGATTACAGGGAAATAGTGTTAGGAATGACAACAAAACTAAAGGAGACGGGGAGTTTAAACCTAAATGCGGTAAAGGGAGGACTCAGAACACGACTAACTTTAATGTCTACTACGCGAACAGCAGAAGTATGAGAAACAAAATGGATGATATTAGGGCCTTAGTATGTACCGAAAAAATCGACATAATAGCATTCACTGAAACATGGATCAACCTAGACTCACGTGAGTTACCGGTTGAATACCAAATTGCGGGTTACAAATTGTTCCATACCGATAGGCAGACCAGGAAAGGAGGCGGAGTAGCAATCTATGTCAGGGATAATCTGAAGTGTGAAATAAATAAGGAAATAAAAACTGAGCGGAATACAGAAACAATTTGGATGGAATTAATCGACCGTAGGGAAAAATTAATCACAGGAGTAATATATAGACCTCCCAATCTTGATAGAGTCAATGAGCGACTTATCTGGGATGAAATGCACAGGGCTTCCATACACAACAAAGACTGTATAGTAGGTGACTTTAACCTTGGCCAAATAGATTGGACTGACCTTAAGGGTAACTCAGAATCAGAGGATTTTCTCGAAACGATCCAGGACTGTTTCCTAAGTCAACATATAACCGTACCCACCCGGGGTAGTAATATACTCAATTTAGTTCTGTAGAACAGAGAAAACCTCATTAGCAATGTCGAGGTAGGGAACGAACTTGCAAACAACGATCACAAAGAAATTAGATTCCAGTTAGATTTTCAGGGCAGACGTAAGGAAAATTCCACTAAAGTACCAGATTTCAGAAGGGCAAACTTTGACAGTTAAAAGAGGCAGCTGGGAGAAGGGGTGTCGCGCTTGGGCGTAAACCTGACAGATGACACAGACCTGATATAGAGATGTGAGAGAGCCGAGTTCCACGACAATTTAAATAATGAGTTACTTAATGCATAAAGGCAGAACATACCATACAAAAAACTCAGATCACACAACAATGACCCTAAATGGATAAATAATTATTTAAAGAACATCATTGGCCAAAGGAAGGCTATAGGTAGAAGGATAAATCATGGTGAAATTTACCTCCAGGATTATTATAAGGTATTGGCGAGTAGGATTAAAACCGAGATAAGGAAAGCCAAGAGGAATAATGAGGTAAGGATAGCAAGGGAGGCGAAGACAAACCTCAAAGGATTCTACCAATTGTATCCAACTAAAACACGAGAAAAGATTGGACCAATACGGTCAGATACCGGCGAGCTCACTGACAACGACGGAGAAATGAGCAATAATTTGAATAAATATTTTTCTACAGTTTTCACCACCGAAAATGTAAACATGATACCGGAGGCACCGACTCTATTCAGGGATAGTGAAGAAAACAAATTAAGCGAGATAGTAGTGACTAGTAGCGATGTTAGTAAGCAAATAGACAAACTAAAGCCTAATAAGTCACCTGGTCCCGATGAGATATTTGCCAGAGTATTAAAGGAATGTAAGGAAGAGCTTAGTATGCCCTTAGCAAAGTTGTTTAACATGTCCTTAAAAAACAGGTGTAGTACCAGAATCCTGGAGGATAGCGAATGTAATACCGATTTTCAAGAAGGGGGATAGATCACTATCCTCTAACTACCGCCCAATCAGCCTAACATCAATAGTAGGCAAATTACTTGAATCAATCATTTCAAACTCTATTCGAAACCACCTGGAGAAGCACAAGTTGATCAATGATTCCCAACATGGCTTCACAAGCGGGCGTTCATGTCTAACTAATCTATTAACATTCTTTTCATCAGTTTTCGAATCGGTGGACGAAGGGCACAATTATGATGTGGTATATCTCGACTTTAGCAAAGCCTTCGACAGAGTCCCCCACGAAAGACTAATTAGAAAGGTAGAAGCACATGGCATCAAAGGTAATATCCTTAAACGGATTAGGGCGTGGTTACAGGACACGAAACAGCGAGTGAGCATTAACGGCACTAAATCCCATTGGAGCAACGTCACTAGTGGAGTTCCCCAAGGCTCAGTACTTGGACCATTATTATTTATTATATACATAAACGACATAGATATCGGCATAGACAGCAACATAAGTAAATTTGCTGATGACACTAAAATAGGACGTGTTATTAAATCTGACGAGGACTCAGCAAAACTACAGGAAGATCTAAACAAATTTTTCGAATGGTCTGAAAAATGGCAGATGAAATTCAACGTGGACAAATGTAAAGTACTCAGTATAGGAGATGTAAACAGGGAAACCAGATACCAGATGAACAACGATGCCATAGAGAAATCTGACTGCGAGAGAGATTTAGGAGTAATGATAAGTAGGAACTTTAAGCCAAGTAAACAATGTGTTTTCATACAAAGGAGTGTTAGTTACAAGACTAGCGAGGTTATCCTGAAACTGTATCTTGCTCTTGTGAGACCACACCTGGATTACGCAGTTCAGTTCTGGTCACCGTATTACAGAATGGATAAAGAATCCTTGGAAAGAATTCAGAGGAGAATGACAAGACTAATCCCGGGCATTAGGAACCTTGAGTATAGAGACAGGTTAAAGCATCTTAATTTGCACTCCCTCGAGAGACGTAGAGCGAGGGGCGACCTGATAGAGGTGTATAAGTGGAAGTCAGGGCTAAACAAAGGGGACATTACAAAGGTACTCAAACTATCCAACCAGGAGCGAACTCGTAACAATGGTTTTAAATTAGACAAATTTAGATTTAGGCGTGAAATAGGTAAACACTGGTTTGGAAACAGAGTAGTGGATGAATGGAACAAGTTACCAAATATCATCATTAACTGGAATACGCTGAATAGCTTCAAACATAGGTTGGATGCTTATATGAGCAATAGGGGTTGGGTGTAAACGGGACTGCCCAGTATGGGCCAATAGGCCCGCTGCAGTTTCCTCCATTCTTATGTTTTTATTAAACATACCGAAGCATTCAACATGAATTTGAGTAATGGCATGTACAAACTGGACAATTTTGTAATTAAGAAGATTTGTAACCAGGTGAGAAGGTTGGGTCACCTTACCCTCTGACCTGACTACCGACCGTTGCGGTGCTATTTAAAGATTAGTAGGGTCATTTCCTAATACCTGACCATTGTGGACCTGGTCTCACCCTCCTCTGTATATATACCCTTGTTTTGTACTTCCCTTTAGTCTGTACTCACCCCTGAAGATGTGAATTACACGAAAGCGCTTGGGAACTTCGTGTTTTCTTCTTTCCTTGTGGTTATCAGCATATATATATATATATATATATATATATATATATATATATATATATATATATATATATATATATATATATATATATATATATATGTAACCGGTCGGAATTTACTGGACTTTATTTTCTCACTTGTCTTGGGGTTTATTAAAGATTATTAGATGGTAATGGCAGTGGAAGCGCCCCTTTGAGAAAAATCCCGAACCAGCACAAGAGCACTTAAATTTACTAACAAAATGAATTGTCCGTGACCCGTGGAAAGATAGCGTCTGTGACTGGGATGAATGAGACACACTGTAAATTTTAGACACTTATATTCCCTCCAACTACAAACACAATCAAATAATGGTGCACCAATATGCGCACCTCTTAACTTGAACTTAAAACACTACTCTGAGGAATAAAAGTTATACATGATATTGAAATTATTAGAAACTCAGGCAACAATAAATTTAAAGTATTAAGAAATGTTGCTTGCACACATGAAACAGGCCTTAAGGGTTTTCACAGAATAATTTCCACCACTGCGGAAGTGGTATAAAAATAAGAAATTATTAATTCCACTATGAATAGGCCTAAAGCGCACTCAATATAATTATGTTACACCAACAGATGCAGGCCTTAAGGGTTTTCAACAAAATAATATCAGTCACTGAGGAAATGGTATTAAAAAATAAGAAATTAAATACTTTACAATGAATAGGCCTAAAGGGCACTCAATATAATTATGTTACACCAACAGATGCACACCTCCTAACCTAACTTAAACACTACTCTGGGGAACAAAGGTTATATCTGAGATTGAAACTATAAAGAAATTTTAAATGCACACAGCATACATTAGTAACTGAAAAAATAGTATTAACTACACACAAAAATATTGTCACTATTATAAAGACGTTACTGAGTCCACCAATACCCGTGAACCATGCTTCCTAACCTAACACACACACAGATTCCACCTGCACTCCGTAGTCGTTTAAGGCACAACCAACAGGCACCCGTAGTTTAAGGCCCAAATCAGCCTTTCTCCACCTTGGAAAGTGTACCTCTAAACTCCACTGACTCTTGGCCCCAGTGTGCGACCCTGTATCACTCAGCTAGCTTCACTTTACCCCACGGTACATCCATAAAGCGGAAGGGAGTGAGCCAATCAGACCTTGTACAGTTGAGAGAAGCTTTAGCTTCCCGTTAGCAAGAGGGTTTCACTAAGCTGCTTGAAACATGTGGTATTGTGAGCCGAGGTAGAGGAGAGCTGATGACCCCAACGATCGTCCCGTCGTCAGCTGGGCACCCAGACGGCTAGATTCCCTGAAGAGATCCTTTGCTACCCCGCTAAACAGTGACAGGCTTACACTGATCGGTCCAATGGCGACAATCGCCACCCTCAATCATCAACGGCAGTCTCAAACGGCAGTCAATCTCTCGCAGTCATCACTCTCGCAGTCAATTTCTCGCAGTCAAGTGGGTTCTGACGGAAACCCTGAAATGAACTCACTGTTAGCTCTTGTTAACTTTACCACTGCCCTATCTAACCCTGTCTGAGATCGAATGAGACTTACTTGTTATACTGCAATAGTGCAACACAGGTGACTAGGCCACGTGACTATTTCTGTGGACTGACGCGCAGGGATGTCCTGTAGGTCCAATCGCTTTCACGTGATTGAGGACCAGCCAGCGTCGCGTCTCTCCAAGGCGCTAGCTTAGGCCTACGTGACATATTTTCCGCCTAACTAATAACTCCTTGGGACACCCGTAACATTATTCAGACTGATAAACGATATATAATAATTTCAAATTCAATAATAGTCCCTTAACTTCATGAATCGCATCATTATTAATTCGGCAAATTACATTTAATATCACTTAGGCCTAGTTCCACAACCTCTCTCTATGTGCAGGGAGCGCTCTCTTCCCTCCGACGACCTTGAAAGCTCAGTATCGCCAATTGTGCGGTGTTTGAAATTAATCTGAAATTTCTGAATATTACATATATATATATATATATATATATATATATATATATATATATATATATATATATATATATATATATATATATATATATATATATATCGTACATCTCTCTCTCTCTCTCTCTCTCTCTCATCTATATTTGTGTCTAAATAATTTGACTAATATCAACATTAATCACCCATGTTAACATTTATTTTAATCTTATCCAAGACATGTTAATTAATTATAATATTAATTTAAAGGCAAAATTCATTTTAACGTTAACCTTCTATATATTAACATCCATTTTAACATAAACTAACATGTTAATATGTAAACATCAAATAAATATTCCATCTAATCATTGCACACCTTAACATTATCCTCCTATCGTGTTAAAAATGTTAATATATCACCTGTCTGACCATAACAGCTGGAACCAGAGTGGAAGATGGTGGAACAGATGGTGGTAGATGGTGTACAGATGGTAATGGTGCTAGATAGTTTGTGTTCCTCTCATCCCATCAGCATAAACGTTGATACACTTGACCAGATCCACCAAATATATGATACCATCGCCTATGTTAAAGGTAAGTAAGGGATGGATAAGGGGTGAGTAAGGGGTGGGTAAGGGGTGGGTAATAGGGTGTGTCAATTTAGGGGGTGAACTGGCTAAATTGAAAATCGAGTAATTTGGTAGCAATTTATTGTAGTCTTTAAGCATGCAAAACAATATTCTGGCATAAATTTTTTTTTATAATAAGTCCTACCTACATCAAATGGATTTTTAAATGTACATATTTGTGAATTTATAACATAACCAGCGTTTGCACACATGTTACTGTTTCAAGTTTCAAATTATTATATTTTATTATCCGTAGTCTATTTGAAAGTAACCAATGCCTTCATACTCTCTTTGCTTTGGTTTCTTGTCATCAGTAGTCTGCTTGCTATTTGTGCTTTGATGTAACCTTCTCGCCTCTCGTGGCTGTAAACATGGCCCGCTGCTTCTGTGACCATTTTCACACATCTCTCCACACTTTGAGTGTGGGAAGGCCACTTCGGCACCTGCATTGGAGTCTCTTTAAGGTTTCTCAATTCTTGGCTAGTTAGACTTGTTGTCAATGGTGGCTCTAAGACTTCCAAACTCAAGTCAACCAATTCTGACAATTTGGTGGCATTGACGTTTATTGGGGGAACTTTTCTTGAATGAAACGAACAGTCTCCCAACTGGTCGTCATCTATTAGCGTTCCTCTAATCTTTAGAATGACTTCTACAGCCTCGGTTCGGAGATTGGTACATTGACTGCAAAGCATTGCTTGCAAAACTGCTTCTGATCGAGCATACCAAGCGGACCTTCTTGCCACAGGTAACACGATGTCCCTCACTACCTTCCTCTGTGTTCTTACTAGCTGCAATTGAAACAAAAGGTGATTGGGCCCATCCACCCACATAGGATTAAGTTTCACACTAAACCACTGGGGAAGATAAACTCCAATAATAAATTCAACAATTAACCTCAAATTCTTCAGCACTTTGCCCTTCAATTCGTGTTTGGAAATCCAAATCCTGCAGAAACGAAGAGCTGTAGTTAACCAACGGCTGTGACTGACAGGTCCAATCTCCAAGAGAGCCAATGACTGAGGCACTTCTCCTGATCTTATTGCTTGGGCAATACGATAAGCATAGGATTGATCTGTGCTGAGATCTTTGATGACTCCTTCAGACAACGCCGGAAGGGGAGGGCCAACTTCGACCTTTGGAAAGGTTGTATTTATTTCTAGTTGTGTTGCTTCATCCAGCATGATGCCAAGGGGACCTGACCACTTGTTGTTGCTCTTTGTAGGACCATCAAGTTCCTGGATGAGATGACGAAGAGGTAGCTCGCCTGTATGTAAATCACATACAATCCAAACAAGTCTTCTTCCTAGTTTTTTCTCTAAATGCGTCATTACACCCCCCTGCCATCCGGTGTTCACTGCAGTTGAATCTCCACCAACAGCCTGCAGTGAACTGCCAAGTCCTCTCTCCTGAACCCAACATAAAATATGATCAGCAATGACCTCTGCATGTTTCTTCCCTTCTACTTCAGTTTCGGGAGCAAAGTGAAACAAAAACCGACCACCAGGCTCAGAACAGACAGAGTAGTGTTCTTCTTTGATGAGACCTGGAAACTTTCTGTTCACTCCCTCTACTTCTAGCAAAACTTTTGTGTCATCTATTCTTCCATCAAACAAAAGACAGGAGAGCCCTCCCTCGCTTAAATCTTTTTCATGCTGATCAGATATTTCCTTCATTATTTTTTCTTGTGCTCTTCTAATTTTATTATGATCTATCACCAAAGATACATCCTCTCGGCTGATGAGGCCTGCATCTATCCAAGCCGCAGTTGCAATTTCAGCCTCACGAAGTCCAGCATGGTGGCGAATACTAGCTAAAGCAATGTTTGAAATATTTCTTGTGTTGTATTTCATTTTCTTTGGTAAAGGTTCAGATGGCTCTTTGGAACTATCATTTGATGTTGCTTCCTGTTCATCAGAAGAACTATCAAAGAAGTGATAAACATCTTGACACAGCTCTTCCTCTCTTTGGATGGCTTCTTCACTCTTCATTTTCTTCTTTTGTTCCCTCTCTCGGATTTGTTCTCTTCTTGGCATTAGCAATCTGCTTCTTTGTTTCTGAATAATCTATTAAACCCATTTGCATACTTCCTTGGCCTTCTGCCTTTGTCCTCTGTGCCTTTATAAATTCAAGCTCTAAAACAGGGATCTTCTTTTCACGAGGACAACCACAATCAATGTGGGAATTATTTTCTCTCTTACCTGAGTGAGAACAGTTGGATTCAGAATATAATTGTATGGAGCACTTGCAGGTCAAAATGTCAAACAGAGTATCAAGTGTGTGCAGAAATTCATTTTTCCTGGCCAAGTTTCCTTTACCAAGTGATGTTTCAACTGCTTTGTGCCATAATTTCGTTAGTTTTAGCTCAATAGTTCGACACTGATTAATCACAGGTGGTTTGAATAGTGCATTAGCTTTTGTCCATTGATGCAGAAGAGGGACTATCATGTCATTTATGAGTTCTTTATCTGTATAGTTCCTTCTGTCCTTTGCATTTTTTTCTCGAAGGAGTAACCCTAATCTTAGCATGTCTCTCACTGTTGGAAGTTCTGATACAGGAAGCTCCTTCCCTTTACCAACTAGCAGGCTCAAGTGGGTTGACAACTGACTTCTTGTCTTCAATTTTGACATCTTCACACTATCTGACAAATAGAAAAATATTTCAATGTTTCATAATTCAATTGTTGTTTCAAAAAATATCAATTTGTTTATCAAAAATGCTGTAACAGAAATAACATAATAATTTCTTAGAACATAATGCTTTATACAATGATATAAGTAACTGCGACAATCAATATGCCCTACTCACAATAATTAAAATGTAGAATTCGTCTGGTAGAGTAGGTGCAAGTGCAATGAGAGCAAACCACCGTCTATGATATCTAGAAGGAGAGTGAGCCGGGCGCCTTATCCTCACGCTTGGTACAAGTCAAAACAAGAATTAAACTGTCCCACACGGAGAGCCTGTTCATGTTCATGTTCTGACATGCATATTGTACACAAGCTATAGAACCATAAAATACTCCATAATCCATATGCTTACATGAGATTAGTTAATATCAAGTGAATAATTCTAATCAAGTCTCATTAATTTGTTGAAATACTGATATTTGAAACTTTAAGGTATAATTGATGTAGGTGAGGGTTATTTCAATTCATTTTTGTTTGCTAATCTCAAGTTTAGACATAAAGAGGCACAATATTTTGACTACCAAATTTGATTTTTAACATGTTGACAAAATTGACACACCCTAGTGGATAAGGTGAGTAAGGTATGGGTAAGGGGTGGGTGAAGGGTGGGTAAGGGGTGGGTAAGGTGTGGGTAAGGGGTGGGTAAGGGGTGGGTGAGGGCGGGTATGTGTGTAAGGGGTGGGTGAGGGGTGGGTAAGGAGTGGGTGAGGGGTGGGTAAGGGGTGGGTAAGCTCTGTGTTTGAGGGTAAGCGAGAGAAAGAACAAGAGTCATAATAAGGTAAATAGTTGAAACTTTATTCCCCTATATTCTCAGGCTCATCTATAATCAGGATGATGAGCCACTTCCTAACGGAGACTACCTTCAGGAGGGGCCTCGCTAGCTACCTCAACTACTAGTAAGTCTTTCTAGCTGACAAGGATATTCACTCCATTATTCGTGTGACTTGATGTTTTTAGTGCACACACACACACACACACACACACACATATGGAGCGGATAACTGAGTGTTCACTCTGTCACAGTGCCTACAACTCAGCCACCCAGGACGACCTGTGGCAGTTCTTGACGGCGGCGGCACACCAGGACGGCACTCTCACCTCTGACCTCACTGTCAAGGTCATCATGGACACCTGGACACTCCAGATGGGCTACCCGCTGATTACTGTCACTCGTAGTGATGATGGCACCTCAGCCACTGTCACTCAGGTGAGTTACTGTCACCCATAGTGATGATGGCACCTCAGCCACCGTCACTCAGGTGAGTTACTGTCACCCACCCAGAGTGATGATGGTACCTCAGCCACTGTCACTCAGGTGAGTTACTGTCACCCATAGTGATGATGGCACCTCAGCCACTGTTACTCAGGTGAGTTACTGTCACCCATAGTGATGATGGCACCTCAGCCACTGTCACTCAGGTGAGTTACACAGATACAATGCGTCACTTACACGTGTAGTAAGAAGATAAAAGGTGTTGGACCCAATCTTCAGTAGAGCGGTTGTACTCACGAGCGCTTGACATGTCACCCCCAGGAGAGGTTCCTGCTGATACCGAGGGAGAATACGACGGCGAGGCAGCAGGAGGCGCCCTACAGGTGGTGGGTGCCGCTCTCCTACACCTCGGCCAACAACTCAGACTTCAGCAACACAATTCCCTCTGAGTGGATGAAGGACTCGGAAGAACACAAGGCGTTGACCTCGCTGCCCGCCAGTGACCAGTGGGTCATATTCAACCTACAGGAGACAGGTTACTACCGCGTCAACTATGACTCCAACAACTGGGCCTTGATCACTGATCAGCTCAAAACTGATCATGAAGCCATTCACGTGATCAACCGAGCCCAGATCATTGATGATGCCCTTAACCTGGCCCGTGCAGGTAAGTTGCCCAATTAAGGTGAAATAATCTAGGAGTTCTAATCTTAAGGTGTTATAAAGCTGGGGGCCTAAGCTTTAGGTGATCAATTACTATTCCCACCTACCAGGTCGACTGTCCTACGAGACAGCGCTGAGACTCAATGTTTACCTGAGGAAGGAACAAGAGTACACCCCGTGGCAGGCGGCCCTCACCAGCCTCACTTACCTGCAGGACATGTTATCACGGACCCCGAGCTACCTGGCCCTGAAGGTGTGTGTTATGTAGATACACTATACAAACTAACCTAACCTAACCTTGCCTAATCTAACTTGACTAACCTGACCAATCAAAACCTAACCTGTAGAAGTACCTGTTGGACCTCCTGATGCCGCTGTACAAGTCTGTGGGGTTCGAGGATGCCGAGGATGACCCACACTTTCAGCAGTACAAGAGGGTGCTCGCTCTCTCCTGGGCCTGCCGTCTTGGCCTCCCTGACTGTGTGAAGAATGCTGATAGTCACTTCAAAGCCTGGTTAAACGGCAGGTGGGTGTTCATTGAATATTGCCTGTAACGACTACCTGTGATTCTATCTGTACCACCTGTGAACGACTACATTTAGGGAGTCGTCCCTACACGCGAATCAGACTTATTACGACCTCTGAGTCACCATAGTAGTGAAGCCTTTCATTACCTCTTGGCCCACCATCACACGATTTACTGGCCGCGTTCACCCACTCTGAGAAACATCGTTTATTGTGCCTTTGTTGTCGTTTTATTGTTCTGGTCGTCATTTTGTACCTTAATAAAACGTTTTATAATGTTTCGGTAAGTTTTTGCATATGGTGAAGACTGTGTTGTGATGTTGAGTGTTGTATATACTGTTGTGGTGTTGATATAGTACCAGTTACGGTTAGCTCAGTTGGTCAGGGAGATACCGTATATATTTCTTGTTCTGTTACCGTACCTCCAGTGAGATGTTGTGCACAGTCATTCAGTGTATACAGTTTCTATGTTTTGTTGACGTCCGTGCCAGTTAGTCAGTAAAGGTACACAGTCTCTCTCCTCACCTTTACAGCTCCATCTCGCCAAATCTCAAGTCGACGGTATACTGCACGGGGATCGCTCAGGGCGGGGAGGTGGAGTGGGAGGCCGCCTGGAGCCGTTACCTCACCTCCAACACCCCTGCAGAGAAGACCCAACTCCTAGCGGCCCTCGGCTGTACCAAACACACCGGGATCCTCTCACGGTGAGCACCACTGGAATCAATAAGACTTTGTATGTGATTTTGTTTGATGATTAACCAAATGTTAACCAAACCTAACCTAACCAATTAGAGACCATTAGTGTACAGATAACGTTATTGGTTTTTTACCCATTAGAGAACTCTAATTAAGAGGTAGTGGGTTCTTTTCACCAATTAAAGACCTCTGTTATGGTTTCTCTTAATAAACTAGAAACCCCTGACTTACAGGTACCTGGATATGGCATTCACTGAAGGTAGCGGTATCAGAAAGGCAGACTCAATCTTGGTACTGAACGCTGTGGCGGAGAATGATGTAGGTCACTCACTAGCTTGGCATTACCTAACACGACGGTGGCAATATATCACCTCCTAGTAAGTACAGTGGTATGGTGTTATAGTGGTATGGTGTTATAGTGGTATGGTGTTTAAGTGGTATGGTGTTAAACTTAATATAGCGTCTATATATTTATATCAATATACTATCAAAGAGTAAAGCCATTGTAACTAACGTGTGTGTGTGTGTGTGTGTGTGTGTTGTTTCAGCTACGACACCTTCACCAGCCTGACTTCCCTCCTCGTTGTTGCCACCTCCAAGTTCAATACACCACGAGAATTACAACAGGTATGTCAAGCTCATTAAATCCTGTACCTGTCTGTCTGTCTGTGTTAACTTATTTATCAATCTATGTTTATATGGCTATCTCTCTATGTTGAATTATCTCTCAATCTGTCTGTCTGTCTGTCTGTCAAATTAGCTATATATCTGTCTGTCTGTCAATGCTAACTTCTATCAATATCTCTGTCAGCTTGTCTATATTAACTTCAAGCTGTCTGTCTGTCTGTCTGAATAACATAGCAAAACATAACATTAATCGCCGTGTTCATGACAGCTAGAAGCGTTCAGGAAGGAGAACTCGAACACTCTCAGACCTGCCAGTTACGCCCTACAACAAGCTCTCGAGTCCACCAATCACAACATTGCCTGGATCAACAACAACTATGACGTCATCGTTCGGTGGCTTCACGACAATGGTTACAAAGAAGTTTATTGACGTCATGTATGAATAATGTGATGTAATGTGTTATGGCGTCATCATTGTGGATTCGTAAAGAAAACTATTTTTTTCTATTTATTAACATCGGCGACTGTACCAACTACGTGATTTGTTAACCTGAAATATATGTGTTTTGTATTTCTGTACTGTCTAGACTCTACATACATTATACTTGCTGAAGCAGTTAAATAAAACTTTATATACACACTATTTTATTTACCTTTGTTGTGTGAGGATTGAGACATAAACAAACATTACAATAATGAAATGAGTTGTAAATAATTTGAGGGGTAGTGGTGGCAGACAAGGTAGGTAGATAACAGGTAGCCTCACTCAGGCCCATAGGAATTCACTAATTGGTAACTCTACTCTCGAGATCGCTAAGCCACGCCCCTTTTGCCACTTCATGCGTTTGTAATAATGAGGTATTATAATCTGTAGAGATCCTTTCTGCTAATGATACCAGTAGGTTTAATTAATTAGTGATGAATTTTAGCTTCAAGAAGTTGAAAAATTGAGTCGCTTAATCCAATTTTATCTGGTATGCTAAACTAGTATTTCATTATTCAATGTAATACTGACAAATATTTTAATTATAGGCTACAGTTAATAATATCATTCTCACAAAATGTAAATACTGTATATAATTGCCATAGGTATAATACAACACCTCCAGTACACGATTTCTTTTGACACCCAAGTCACATATGAAAGCAAATGCAATGGTCTATACTAGAATATAATATAGAAGTCTATTTAAATAATTATACATTAAAATAAGCACTGGTCTACACTAGACTTTATAGTAAGCTACAGGAAGTTCCTTAGGGGTACGAATATATACAGTATTTGAAAACTAAGAGGTTCAACTTTTCTCATAATAATTGCTTAAGTATAGGCTTCCTGCGTATAGAGAACATTATAGGCGACTGTCTGATGAGATGCATGACTATCATTTATTAAAAAATAGCCCACAGTAACAGTCTACTAGATTCATATTAAGTTATATTTTGACAATAGAAATTGCATAATACATTATATATAAAACAGGAAACAAAATGTATGCACATTTAATGGACTTATAATGTATGGTCTTCGTACGTTGTAGTATTCTTGATTTGACCTCCTAATCCCGGTAGATTTATTGTTGGACGTGAGTGCGGCTTTAAAGAAAGCTTTACATTGTCTACTGCTAAATGGTAATTAAAACATTCAGATTTAAAATGCACTGAACATATCGTATGCCACGACTTCACTTGTTTGGTGTTTTTTATATCTTTTCTTTCACAGGCATCTAGCCACTTTGCCCGTAACTTTATGTCCCGAGGGAATGAATAAAAAGATACAAACTTTTTCTTCATTTCTGAGTTGAATTTGCAGGTGGCTACAGCGCAATAAATCATTGTTATAAAAGAAAAACACTCCACTTTCACTTGTAAATATCCTGCTTCTACTGTTTGACGTAACCAAGTGGGCGGAGCTTAATAAGTGATGTCATCGCTAGCCAATCAGCGACGTTGGATGAAATCCAGCGGTCGCAAGTAAGATATTTATATTTATTTTATATATTTAATCAGTGGCTCCAATTAAAATAAAACAAAAAATCTCCATTCCATACATTTATTGTACAACTTTTAATACCATCATAAGCCTTCAAAACTACGTAAATAAAATTTTCATTTTTAATTTCATTAGCGTAGATGCTATGGGAGTGAGGCTACCTGTTATCTACCTACCTTGGTGACAGAGGTGTGCTGACCTCGCTAGAGGAAGGGTTATGGCCGATTTAGCTCCCGGGGACTAACTGACATTGCAATGGCTAGTGTTAGTTGTAAACAGCTCTGTGCCTCCTTGAATGCTGAGCTAGTGAGGTCAAGGATGAAAACTTAGGGTTAAGGGAAGTGATTGCGAGGATGAAGATATGAGATGGGTTGTGAGGAGGGCGGGGCGGGGGAGAGAGTGGGGCAGGTGAGAGAGCGGGTGGGGTGAGAGAGCCTGGCGGGGCGGGTGGGGTGAGAGAACCTGGCGGGGCGGGGCGGGAGAGAGATTCACCCCTTCCTTATTTCACCTGTAGATCAATTTAACCTTAATCAATCTACGTATTACAATGTGCTGGTGAATCATTATTTCTTTTTCAGATCAAGGGATGACTACAGATCCAACTACAGTATAAAGCACTGTTATTGGTGTGGTGCAGTATGTGGCCATCAGTGTGGTGCAGTATGTGGCCATCAGTGTGGTGCAGTATATGGCCATCAGCGTGGTGCAGTATATGGCCATCAGTGTGGTGCAGTATATGGCCAGCAGTGTGGTGCAGTATATGGCCATCAGTGTGGTGCAGTATATGGCCATCAGTGTGGTGCATTGGTGCAGTATGTGGCCATCAGTGTGGTGCAGTATATGGCCATCAGTGTGGTGCATTGGTGCAGTATGTGGCCATCAGTGTGGTGCAGTATATGGCCATCAGTGTGGTGCAGTATATGGCCATCAGTGTGGTGCAGTATGTGGCCATCAGTGTGGTGCAGTATGTGGGGACAACGGACCATGAGTGAAGCTTCAGACTCTACACAATAGTATTCCTGGAGGTTAGTTTTAACGTTGAGTGTGTGGGTGGGTGTAGCATGTTGTGAATTAACGTTTTGAGGGGTGTGGGTGGGTGTAGCTTGTTGTGGTGTCATTTATTCTTGAGGGGGTGTGGGTGGGTGTGGCTTGCTGTGTAGCCATTTAACTTTGTGTGGGGGTGTGGCGTGTTGTATAATGGGTGGGACTGTGTGGTGCATGGAATAGGGTTGTGTCCGCATATGAAGGAATTGTACACGGGGTGGACAGGTGGCTGTGGTGAAGTTTGTCATTCAAGCTAAGTGTAACTAAGCTGTCGAGGGGGACCCTTGAGGCATGCTGAGGGAGGGAAGGTCTAGTAAGTGAGCTGCAGTAAACCTTGTGTATAGTGCATGAAGCGGTGTAGTACATTATAGTGCAGCATTACTGTATTGGTGAGAAGTAATTTGAGTAAACTAATGTGGAGAAAATGTTTTAAGTAAACACTTGGGGACAGTTGAAGTACATGTGGTCTAGTGGTAGATGGAAGTTGCAAGTTTAACTTTCATTTTGCATAAATTACAACTTAAAACATGTTGCAGGTGACGGCTGATGAACGTGAAGGCCAACGGAGAAGTGACAGAACCTTGAGCAAGATTTAACACCCACCATGTTACTTCAGCCTCCTCAGTTAAGTTACTTGTATATCTTAGCTAGTATGGTCATCCCATAAACCACTCAACAGTGTGGTACACTGGGCAGGGAGAATGTGTGGAGCGTGTGTGGAGCCTGGCCGGCTGTGTGTATGGCCGGGCCGACTGAGTGAGGGACCTAGTGGTGTGTGGGGCCTGGTAATCTGTGTGCATGGCCTTGCAGACTGTATGTTGGAGGGTTGTGTGTGTGGACTGACTGTAGACAAGTTGATCTTAAAGTAAAATTAATATTACTTGTAGTGACAGGACTACATGCCTATTACTTACTAGAGAAAATAGTAGTAGTATAGTAGTGAAAATAGCAAGTGGTTTGTGGTTGGGTTTCAACTAATTAACTAACTAACTAGCTAATGTAACCTAACTTAGAATAATCGTAATTAACCTAGACTAAACCAAATGAATATTAAGTTGTCTATTATACAGTAAATATATAAGATAAACTTGTCCAAGAACATAAATTCAAAGCATTTAATTAGCCACTTACGTTAACTGACAATGAATAGAAGAAAGTTAATTTTGCAGTTAGATAAAATTGAGACGTATAAATTATTAAAAAATTATAACTTATGGACAGTTGGTCTAAGTGTTGATGGAAAATGTATGCTTAAGGTTTTTTTTTACATTAATTACAACTTTATACATGTTGTAGGTGACAGCTGATGTACTTGAAGGCCAACGGAGAAGTGACAGAACCTTGAGCAAGATTTAACACCCAGCATGTTACTTCAGCCTCATCAGTTAAGTTACTTGTATATCTCCGCTAGTATGGTCAGCCCATAAACCACTCAACACTGTGCTCCTACACTGGGCAGAGGAGGGTGGGGGGGGGGGGCGGGGGACTGGCCGACTGTGAGTGGGTGCCTAGTGGTCAGTGTGTGGGGCCTGGTAATCTGTGTGTGCATGGCCTTGCAGACTGCATGTCGAAGGGCTCTGGAGAACTGTGTGGTGTGAAGGGCTCTGGAGAACTGTGTGGTGTGAAGGGCTCTGGAGGACTGTGTGGTGTGAAGGGCTTTGGAGGACTGTGTGGTGTGAAGGGCTCTGGAGGACTGTGTGGTGTGAAGGGCTCTGGAGACTGTAGACAGTTATCTTAGAGTAAATTTATTATACGCTAACCTGGTCTGCAGGCCACGCCCCTCTAACATACTATTAGCTGCTTGGTTCACAGAAAATTCAAATTAAATTTGTTCACATTTGGTAAGCAGATCTTTATCTAAAATGATAAATATATGGATTATCAAAATTCAAATCATTTAAAGGCATTAGCTCTTCAGTGAGGATGTTAGAAAATTATAAATATTTACTTTAAAAGGTCGATATAAATATGCCCTTGTACTGTACTGTATATGCACAGTCCGGGGGAGGTAAAATGCTCAGGGGAACCAATTGACTATTTGTACCTACTAGACGAGGGGTGTGGCTTACGGGCCAGCTTAGTGTGGAAATACTGTAGAAGTATAGTAGTAAATAAACCAAGTTGTGGGTGGACTTCAACTAATTTAACTAACCTAACCTAGATTAAACGTAACTAACCTAGACTGAACCACATCAATAATAAGTTGAGCTATTATACAGTAAATATATTTCAAAATTTTTTATTGGAAGAACGTCAATTTAATGTATATCATTAGCCACTTATGTTAACTGATCATGAATTCAGAAAGTAAATTTTGAAGTTAGATAAAATTAAGACTTTAGTAAATTATTAAATTTACTTGAGTACAGTTGGAGACGGTTTTACGTACATGTGGTCTATTGGTAGATGGAAATTATACCTCTAACTTCTTATTCTATACAAATAACTCGAAATATATTGCAGGTGACAGATGATGTATTTGAAGGCCAACTTAGAGGAAGCAACAGAACCAACCTTGAGCAAGATGTAACACACCACATGTTAATTCAGCCTCCACAGTTAACTTACCTACAGTATGTCTCTTTGCATGGTTGCCCTAAAAACCACTGGGTGTAAGATTGAAGATGAGTGACTTGCTTTGTGAGAAGGGTCGGGAAGAAGGAACGTTGGGCAGTGGAGGGGGCGCTCGTACGTTGGGCAGTGGAGGGTCGCTCGTACATTGGTCACTGGAGGGGCGCTTGAACGTTGGTCAATGAAGGGTCGCTCGTACGTTGGGCAGTGGAGGGTCGCTCGTACGTTGGGCAGTGGAGGGGCGCTCGTACGTTGGGCAGTGGAGGGGCGCTCGTACGTGGGCGGTGGTGGTGTGCTCATATAATGGTTAATAGAGTGAATGTTATAAGTATCAGAGTAAAATAACGTTCTATGAAGGAATATTGGAGATGATGCCTGTGAGAAGGCTGCTGCTGCAGTAAGGCTCGTGCTCAGTGTAAGGTGTTACAGGAGGGTCCTAGAGTGCATGGATATTTGCACGATGCAAGTATGGAATGCAAGAAATTTTAGGGTAAATGTTGTGTATTTGTAGAGATACAATAATGTAAATTAAGACTAATCTACATTCAAAATTTTATTGCAGGTGGTTGGTGTACAAGAAGTGTAACCAAGACGGCCAGATGACCACAGCGAGTGTTCCCACAACTGTACTGTACCAGCACACACCTTCAAGACTACTGCCTTAAGCACAAACTTTTATTCTACAATTGAGAAAACATTTAAAGTACAGTAAAGTAATATATTTAAGAACGTATAAGTAAACCTCCAGTCAAGCCATACAGATAAAGAAAAGGTTATATATTGTTACGAGTTGGGGATTTAGAAACTGGTTTAGAATATCGTTGAAAGTCTACCCAGATCCCAAAAGGAACGAACTCGTAACAATACAGTAAATATTTTTTATAAAAACGATATTGGAAGAACGTCAATTTAATGCATTTCGTAAGCCACTTGCATTAACTGATCATGAATTCAGAAAGTTAATTTTGAAGCTAGATAAAATTAAGACTTTAGAAAATTATTAAATTAATCTGAGTACAGTTGGAGCATGTTTTTGGTACATGTGGTCTAGTGGTAGATGGAAATATAATTTCCTTAACTTCTATTCAACATAAATAACTCGAAATATATTGCAGGTGACAGGTGATGTACTTGAAGGCCAACTTAGAGGAAGCAATAGAACCAACCTTGGAGCGAAGATGTAACACACCACATGTTAATTCAGCCTCCTGGAGTTAAGTTATTATGTCTCTTCGCATGGTCAAACCAAAAACCACTGTATGTAAGACTGAAGATTAGTGATTTGCTTTGTGAGAAGGGTTGGGAAGAAGGAACATTGGGAAGTGGAGGGGCGCTCGTACGTGGGCGGTGGTGGTGTGCTCATACAATGGTTAATAGAGTGAATGTTATAAGTATCAGAGTAAAATAACGTTCTATGAAGGAATGTTGGGGATGATGCTTGTTGGTAGAGCTACATTAATGTTAATTAAGACTAATCTAAACAAAAATCTTGTTGCAGGTGGTTGGGTTACAAGAAGTGAAACCAAGACAGCTGGATGACTACAAGGAGTGTTCCCATAACTGTACTGTAAAATGTAAGCTCACACCTTCAAGACTACCGTCTTACCACAAACTTATTTCTACAATTGAGAATGTTTTAAAGTACAGTAAAGCAATATATTTAAGAACGTATAAGTAAACCTCGAGTCACACAGATAAAGAAAAAGGTAGATATATTATGTAATGGTTGGCACTTGTATTGAGATTATGATGAGTTGGCTCTCATTATACAATATCTGTACATAATCAAATAAACACACAAATTTGACCTTCTATACTCCAATTTTGGAAAAGTAGAATAATAATAATCTTGTAAACTGAACTTGAAACATGACGGTAACATGGACTGTATATGGATCCTGTGTGATGTCCACATGATAGCCCATGCATACTTATCACTAATTGACATTCAAGGGCCAACCTAAGTAGAACTGTTCCAAACTAATGCCCATGTGATGACCTATTATTGGGTATGCATAATCTAAAACAAAGATAACCACAGGACTGTACCTACAGATGGCATTGTAATATTTCAAATTAGTGTTGTTATAACAAGATGGATAATCATCAAACATGCATCTTTATGGTGGTGTTGGACAATGACACCTCGGTCGAAGGATTTTGACAACCTCACCGAGACAACAGGTGTCCGTGTTTATTTTGAAATTCATCGGTCCTGTCCGTTTTTGATTGTGTACATACTATTAATTTGAACATAATGTATACATAGTAAAGTACATTAGGGATTTTACTTACTGAATGAATACAATCTGGACACCACACCCGTTGTTGGAAGTCGGGTTTTGCCTAAAATTTAGAAAAGAAATCCTTAAAAATTATAGATCAAATTATAAATTGACTATGTACAACAAAATGTAAAGCTGAAGACTTTGAAATACAACGGTCATGTTTAAAATTGTAAGGTTTTGAAATTAAATTTTATATTTGACTCAAAGTATGGTGGTTGTTGGTAGTTCAGTGGTAGAGTCTCTCAACACTGTCCTGGGCTCAAACTCCAGCCTGGGACAGATGTGAGAAGGGTGTTGAATGGTGTAAACCTAGCAAATATCATATTCCCCACCTACTTCTGGTTCGTATGTACGTGTATAATACAAATGAAAATAAAATTTACGTTGTATATACAATTCCTTTTATTTTTTTAGATTTCCTGTCTACGAATATAAACATGATCATATCAAGTGGTAGTGAGTATCAATGTAAATATCTCATTTCTTCAATACTAACTATCTATAAAAAGCTAAAATACTGCATTGCTGGTCTTGGAGAATATACTGTAAGCATGGTCTTGATAAAATATAAGTTACCGTACCTTGTATAATAAAATGGTCGGAAAACGAAGAGTTTATGAAGTGGTGATCATGCAACACTGCAGTAGCCCCCCCTCCTTTATCCGGACTGGGGACCGGCATGTTCAGTTGAACAAGGCGGAGTTACTACTGTGTATTTACTTCTAACTACGGTGCTGTTACAACTATTACACAAATAAGTTTTACCTTTACCACCTCCAGGAAGCACATTGTGGTGGGTCCACACTCAGCCAGACAAACCTGGAATACAAAAAGTTTTTGACAATGTTCATAAATACCTTACATATAGACATTACATATTGTCACAAGAACTTTACCTGTCTGGTGGGGTTCTTGTCCTGCCAGATGTTCACCTCAACCATTCACCTGAGCCAGCCAGCCGTCCGTCCAACTGAGCCAGCCAGCCGTCCTCCTCAGCCAGCCAGAGGTCCACCTGAGCCAGCCAGCCGTCCTCCTGAGCCAGCCAGCCGTCCGTCCGTCCAAGTGAGACAGCCAGCCGTCCTTTCAGCCAGAGGTCCACCTCCAGGAGCCAGCCAGCCGTCCACCTGAGTCAGCCACCTGTCCACCTCAGTTAGCCAACCATCCACCTGAGCCAGCCAGCCGGGTCCTCCTGAGCTAGCCAGCCGTCCACTGAGCTAGCCACCTGTCCACTCAGTTAGCCAACCACCCACTCTGAGCCAGCCAGCTGTTCACCTGAGCCAGCCACACAATCTGAAAGATTTTAAAAGACCTCAGGTGTGGAATGAGAGGAAGGTGTGTGGATGGGAGTGGTGTGGATGGAAGTTGGGTGGAGGATGGGAGGTTGGGTGTGGATGGGAGGTTGGGTGTATGGATGGGAGGAATTGGTGGATGGGAGGTTGATGGGAGGTTGGTGTGGATGGGAGGAAGGATGTGGATGGGAGGTTGGGTGTGTGGATGGGAGGCAGGGTGTGTGGATGGTAGGCAGGGTGTGGATGGGAGGAAGGGGGTGGGGATGGGAGGAAGGGTGTGGATGGGAGGAAGGGTGTGGATGGAAG